AAAAAAAACTTATAATTAATAAATAATTATAAGTTTATAACCATTGGCTGCTCTTGTGACCGTTGGCAGCCAACGGTTATAAAAAGTTAAATTTAAAAAAAAAATAAATAAATTTTGTAAAATTTCATTTTAGCCTTTATAATTTATACTTATTTAAGGGGTTTAATGTAATTTTACAAAGGACTAAAATGATAAAATGCAAAAAAAAATTTGGGCCCAGGCCTGGGCCTTGGAAGAGGGCCCTCCTCCTTAGGCCTGGTCCCATTTTGGAACCAAGCCTCCTAGGACCGGTCCTAGGACCATGTTTTGATGCTAGGCTTTTGGGCCCGGTCCCAAATGTCCACTCTAGATGGAGGTAACAGCTTTGAAGTTCCGAAGTAGAGGTCGTCCCAATATGCCATTGAAGGCGGACAGATAATCTACTACCAAAAACTTTGTCATCTTAGTCACTTCGTGAGTCTTACCCAAAGTGATAGGAAGTGTAATTGTTCCCTTGGGAATCAGATGATCCCTTGTGAAAACCATAGAGGGGGATAGAGGCAAGCTTCAGATATGCCTCGTCCAATTGCATTTCCTCGAATACTCGTTGAAATATGATGTTTACGATACTCCCATTATCCACCAACATCCTGTGGACTTCGCACCGACCTATTTCAGCTGCGATGACAAGTGCATCCTCATGAGGGTGATGCAATCGTGCTGCGTTTTCTCTAAGAAGATAATCTCCTCTTCTCTGCATACCTTAGCAGGCCACGACGCCATGCTCATCACACTCACAGGGTCATGGCGAGCTTCTAGAGCATACTACTCCTAAGCACTTTGAGAATTTCCTGCAAGGTGCGATCCTCCAAATATGGTTCTGACAAGATGGAGGCCCTTGCGACCATGACACTTCTTCCCCTGGTCCTCTTTATCCTTCTCTCAAGTGGGAGTTGGACCATCAACATATTCCTTGAAGTGCTCTTTTTTAATGAGGTCTTCAATCGCCTGCTTAAGAGCTCAGTATTCATCAGTATAGTGCCCATTATCTCGATGATAACGACGATATTTCTTGTTGTTTCTTGCTGAAGAGGGATTATTCATAGGCACTGGCTCTTTGAGCATATTAGCTTCTTCTGATTTATCCAGAATAGCTGATACAGATGCATTCAGTGGAGTATACTGATTCTTGTTACGATCGCAACGAGGGACTTGGGCATAAGACTTTTTAGGCTCAAATCTATACTTCTTTCCCTTTCTCTAATCGTCATTAGCCCATCTGTGATTAGGCTTTCTACTACTCTCTCCCCAGTTTTCTTCCCTCCGACTGGGAGCGCCAGTCGAAGGATCGGGGTCGTGGTGATTCAAGGCAGCCATTGAATTTTCAATTCTGAGATATTTCTCAGTGAGGTTATAGAAGCAGGTGAGGGAAATATTATCCTTAGAATGCAGCTTCTTCCATAGGTCGGTTTGCGGGCGAACTCCTGCAATAATAAGGGTTCGACCTGACTCTTCGGGTGTATTAGCCACCTTATTCAACTTTCTATGAAACTTTTCAATATAGGATTAGAAGGACTCATTCCTCTCCTGCCGTATGTTGCTCAGATAGCTCCACGACATTGAGAACTTCCTATTAGTTTGGAAGTGTCTCAGAAATAACAAACTCATCTGCTGCCACGAGTTAATAGATCCAGACGGAAGCGATCTAAACTAGCGCTTGGCATGGGCAATTAGAGTCACTGCTAAGCAATGACATTTTGCCAAGTTGGAAACTTGGTGAAGCTCCATGAGGTCGGCAAACTCATAAAGATGATCTTGCGGATCAGAATTCTTATCGAATGCTCGCATATCGGGCATTCTAAACCTTGATGGGAGAGGAGCAGTCAACACTGCTGGAGAAAAAGTAGACGCCTCAGCGACCTGCCCTCGCTTATTTTGCTGAGCTCTAATTTGATCCAGAGCTCGTTGTAACTCCTCTATCTGAGGAATCAGAGCTACTTGGGGATCACTTTCTGTAACGTGGTTCACCCCTCACGATTGCGATTGAGGAAAGACTGCAGGTTGGACTCTTCCTCACCTAGGCAAGACCTCCTGCACACCTTGACACATGCTGGCTGGAGCCTTGTGATGGCACTGAATGGCTAAGGGAGTTATCTTGACCTCCATGGTGGTCAGAACCGACCTGCGGATGGTAGGCATTTCCTCGCGGTGATGGTTGGAACCATCACGCCGGCGATAATGAGAATCTCCCTACCTTGCACTCTTGTGGAGGTGCCCATGCGATGTGGCGTGGGATGGTTCATGATGCGACATACTGCCAAGTCGCAAAGCCATAGGTATTTTACCTACTTCACGACCAGTATTCGCTAGTCTCTTGAAGCCCTTTGGCCCATTATTTGCCACCTGCTTTCCCTTATCTTTACGCGCTGTAGTGCGCGTGACATGGGCCTTTTGCCAGCTTCCGTGCTTTAGCGTGACCCACAGGCGTCTTCGGTGGCAGTACCGCTTTGTCAGAATTAGGTGGTACGACCTGATCCAAGCGATCTAGCTTTCGGCTGACTGTTTTGAGAGTACTGTTGAACCTCTCTAGGTAATTCATCACAGCTGGGTCGAGTTTTGAGCTCGAGGGAATATCCGTCGTGGTACCCTACGGAATTGGAGGTACTTCGGGACAAGTATCATCCTGTACCCAGGGGATCTCCTCGTTGCTGGTGCTAGCTTGCTCGGTTTCAAGACCACGAGCCATTTGTTCGCGAGTAAAACTGATTGATCAGAGATTCCTGATGAAGAGCGAATACTAAATCAGACCCTCATTCTAGCATCAAACTATTGATGCTTGATTTTGACACCAATGACTCGCACGTGCAAGGTGCTAAGCTGTTCTTAGAAATTATACGTGAATGATTAGGATAATCGAATGCAAAGACTAAACAATAAATGAGAAATGGTTTTTAAAATGGTTCGGATGCTTAAAGCGAATCCTACGTCCACTTTTCTTTTAGATATGAGAGATTACAAGAGGTCTCATATAGCGAACATCAAGCAGAGGTACAATAACTGAGTATTCAGATAAAATATCAAGTCAGCCTCTTTCTCATAGGTTATCTCTGCTTTGAAAGTTATAGATTAAAATCAGAATGTGGGTTCAGTATTAGAATCCCGAAAATGAGAGGGGGAGTCCTCTATTTATAGTAGGGGAATTCAAGATAATGATTACAAATCTGCAAGTGGGTAGATGTGGTACAAGTCCTTCCTTGCCTCTCATTGGCTGGTAACTTATGAGATATCCTCAAATTACTTGGGGCTTGGACAAGTGTACGACTCTCATTCACTCATAGAGAAAACCTGGATCTGCCAAGTTGATGACAACCATATTCTTCCTGTTATAGAGCGACGTGGCAACTCCTGGATGACGTAAAGCCTTCCTGAACTCTGATTGGTACCTGCTGATGTTAGCTCTAATTTTTTAGGCATAACAGTGTCAAATCAAAGTTTTTTTTTTTCCGTTGCAACTCGTATGGGATTTAAAAATCCCAACAAATTTTACATATCAAGTTAATTCAATTGAAATGGTCATGTATATAATTAATGTTGACTTTAGTCAATGTATATTACATCATATGATACGTATTATTTACCATATAGATATCTAACCAAATCCAACTCTCTCTCTCTCTCTCTCTCTCTCTCTCCCTCAATATGTTCCTCAACAAATCCTACTCGTGCGGATTCTTTCCCCAACTAACAAGAGATCTTGACAGAATTGCCACATATAAAATTGAGCACAATTATATATATATATATATATTATGCGTATGAAAAGTTAAATATAGAAGTCACAGTCAGATGGTGATGACCGTTATATCTAGCCATTGAAGTTTGAAGTTGAAGGCTTTCTTCTATGAATAGCTTGGAAATTGAAATTCTGTACATAATAATTGAAACCTAAGGGTCCCTTTGGCACACTACTTTCCTACTATCTTATCCTAAAAACCAAAAAATGTAAGTTTTAATATTCTCAAAATTCAATTATATTCTATTTAATTCAAAATATTTAGATTATTTTTAACCCCATAGGTTTGTTAGTTTAACTAAACACCCCCAATAATAAAAGTTTATAAAATAACAAAAACATCTCCACCCACCCACATATTGCGGGCAATTGGCCACTACCACCGAAGGTGGCTGGAATGGTGCACGACCGGCTGAATCTAGATGGTCATGCACCAATTTGGCCATTTCGGCCAGATCTATTGTGGATATGGTTGGAAAAAACCAAATCTACGACCAAAGATCTGGTTGTTGATGACGGTCACATTTTAACCATTAACAACGACCAAAGATATGACATTTTCTGGCCAAATCCACGGTGGATCTACCCGAAAAAGGCTAGATCGGTACACGACCGGCCAAATCCAATCGGTCGTGCACCATTTCGGCAGATTCTGGCCACCTTAAAGGTGGTGGCTGGTTGTGGACAACATGTGAGTGGATAAATATGTTTTTGTTAATTTATAAACTTTTATTGTTAGAGGTGTTTAGTTAAATTAGCAAACCTATGGGGTTAAAATTAATATAAATATTTTCAAAAAATGCTATTCAGAAATATATAAAAAAGCTTCTCAAAATCGTATCCAATTTTCCAAAATTGCTAAATAGCATAGAATGCTATTCTAAATAACTAACCAGACGAAACCTAAATCATCTAAATTATTGAAATTAAAACACAATATCGTTTATATACAGTAATCCAACAATTGATAAATCAATAACTTGTAAGAAAAGAAAAAACGAAAGAAAGAGCAATTATCCCTTTGTATCGAATGTCATAATCATTTAAGATAAGTTATCCCATATATTATTATAATTATTATATAATAAGAACAGGTAAAAAATTTAAACGATATGGCTGATTTTCACCCTGACATCTGTTATATATGATATATACAAGTATGTTCAAAGTATTACCATACCAACGCCTTTCTTCCTCAGCTATTGTCTCAATCAAGGGCCAAAGATGATGACGAAAATATGAAGAATTTATTTAGCATGAAATTTATCTTTAACTAATTAGATCTTGTCTTCATACAAAATTAAGAGCTAATTTAAAACATAATCAAAATTCTCCAATATATTCTGCTATCTAAAATGTTTGTACATACACATGTAAAACGACACCACTTTTACTAATTTGCCACAGTAAAAGACTTGGTCATCCCCTCACCATGACACGCTCAAACTTACTTTGTGCCCACCCACTAACACCACCACCAGTCCACCACCACAAAACGCATGTTTCCGTACTCGTTGACCAAGACCGTTTAGCCGTGACCTAACTCAACTCCACTCCTCACCCGCTTGTGACAATATATCAAAGTCACGCCTCTTGTCTTCGAGCAAGATATCCCGGCAACGGACTCGCACGTGGCGACCTCAAAGGCACCTCGCTCAGCTGCTTCCCCCTGTTGTCATAATAAATTACACCCGAGAAATCCAACGGCTGACATTTATCCCCCATCAAAATCGCTCGTTGCCAGACCCCACCATCCCCGAACTCCTCCTCCCGGGACACGCGGAAATTCATCTCATCGTCCTTCTCCTCGTCGACCTTTTTCTTGTGCATGAAATTGATAGCCTTGTTGCTTATCGTCGTCATGAGCTGCTTTGGCCGGGCCCTTAACGGGGATTTCGAACTAGGAGCAGGACTCGGAGGAACCGATAAAGAAGTATTGTAACTTCTCTCCTTGTAAAATTTTTTGGTAACCGGCTTTGCTTTGAGCTTACTCGAGACGCGACTGGCGTGCTTGGCACACAGAGCCATGAGGGAGGAGATGGTTATGAGGAAGGTGGCGGAGTGCCGCTTCGGTGAGGCGGAGCCGGCGTCGTGTTCGGAGGAAGCTGGGACCATCTTGAATTTTTCAGCTTGGTGGTTTTTTTTTTATTAACAACTGAAACCGGAAAAAAATGGCGGTAAGGTTAGTGTTTGTATGGTGGTTAATTGTATTTATAAGTGAGCGATGGGTTTAGGTGACCGTAACAACTGGTGGCAATTAATTTGAGTTTAGACTTTAGATTCTTTAGAGCATGAATTTAATATTTTTGAAATTGAATATTTGAAAATGACAATTTATAATTAATTATGTAACCTCTTAAAAATTAATAAATAATTTCTAATAATATACTTAGGTTTTAAATATTTTTTTTGGGTTAATTAAAATCTGAAAAATTTTGAGCGGCTATGAATTTAACTTTAATAAAATAATTTAGTTGATTGATTGCACAATTAAAGGTGGAGATTTTATGAAGGGTCTAACCAGCTAAGTTTTCAAATATCGACACATCTATAAACCAATTTGATAATATTAATTAATCAATAGCCACTAATTAAAGATTAACACCATCTTAATCTTAATTAATAAAAAATAATATTTTCTAATTAAAAGATTTTAGTGGAAGCTCATCTGATAGCTGGTTGCAGATAAAGTCTACACGCAAGAGAAGCACGGGATCATGAAATTTTCCACGTGTCGTGCAGTGAGGGGCGACTGGTTGAGTCAGCGGCAGATGGCGGTAAGTTATGAGGTCTACGTAGACTTGGCCAAACTCTAGATTTTATTCACATTTTGCCAAGTAGTGGAGCGTGGCAAGGAAAGTGCGCGTGGCCCCCACGATGACTCACTTTGCAACTTGAAATTTGTGTGTCTTGTACTTCTCTTGGGCCCATAGTGCATGTTCCAGTCCACTATCTTTTTTTTTTTTTTAAATATATATAGAATAATTTTATTTTAAAAAAAAATTTTAACCAAATCCTGGGCGCATTATATCATAATTCATTCATCAATAATTATCAACCAATCAAATTATAATCAATGTAAAAAGCATTTTTATTTTATGGTAATGTTATATTGCACATATTTTCTTTTATTTAAAAAAAATCTATTTCTTAATTTTCTTAAAGTTTAAAAATTATTAATGATCGTAAGTTCTGTAGTTTTAATCAATCCCCAATCAATAAATTAATCCAAAAATACCTTTACCAGCATATTTTGTTAATTGGTGACAGAAAATGTAAAAATAAAATTTATTTTACCTTCTTTAAATACATTAGCAAATATTAATAAATTCAAAATGCATTATGAACATAAAAAAAAAAATTGAAAGAAAAAAAATAATAAGATGCTAATAAGATTAAGCTCGATTGTGAGTTTAAGTAGATGAAGGTTTTAGAATCAGAAAAGGCAAGTTAGAATAATATAATATAAGATATCATTTCATGATTTTGTGATGAAAATACGCATATTATATGTGGTTAGATATTATTAGATAAAATAATATGAAAAATATTAATTAATTTGGAAAATCCCAATTGAGAAAATTTGAACAAGGAGTTAACTTGTGGTGAAGAAGATAAGTCAACTATTTTGATGGAAAACCACAATTAAATTATCGTCAAGAAATGGTGGCAGGTTACCGAATAATAAAATAAATATGCAAGGTGAACTACACCCATTTCAGACTTAGTGTTAGGTAACCTTCCATTAATTTTCTTAGTAAAATTCACGTAGTATTATCTTTGTTAATTAAGGTCAAATTTGGGTTAATTATAATTAATCTCTGAGTCTTTGTTGGTCTAATAATTATCGATCAGTATGGATAGTCCAAATCCAAACTCATGCTTTTTCAAGGAAGCTTTTCGCTTTCACATGTGAAAATGGAAAATGGGTACTAAACTAATTAATTTACGTTTTTATTATGTTATTTGGTTTGCAATTCTTAGGATTTGTAACCAAAAGTGGGACGAATCTTTGAAAATTTTGAGCACGGACAAATAACCAAAGATTCAAAAGAATCGTTCAAACTTTATAATATAAAAAAATTGAATAGAAAATAAAATTGAGTGGACTTTTAACAAGAAATTTGATTTTATGATTGAAATTAACTGTAAGACTTGGTCAAGGTCAACTAAGAATAACATGAAAAAACACCACGTGAGAAAGGGATGCAGCATTAAAATGAACTCCGAAAAGGCTTTTGCCTTTTGCTTATTACAGCCCATAAAGTCATTGAAGACGAGACCTGTTGCATGTTGAGATGGATAAGGTCACCAAAGACAATGTTTAAATAACATATACAATTCATAATATGGTTGTTCAATGCCTTTGAAATATAATATACTTAAAATATAAATAAGATGGTTGTATTTTTTTTTTTTTATCTTGACGTAAGGAATGAATAGAAAGGGATAATTGACAATATCTTTTGCTCTTGGAGTAATAAACTTTCACGTCTCCTTCGTACTTTTATCTAATACCTTTTTATAGCATGATTGGTCATAGGCATTTGCTTTTTATTTTATTTTTTTAAAATTAATTTTATTAATTTTATTTTTTATAAGATAAGAATTAAATAAATGAGACAAAATAAATATACAAAGATATAAGACCCCAAGCGAAGATAAAAAATCTCAATCAAAACATAGAAACATCCACAAATGACACAAAGAGTAAGCAGACTCCTCACAAAAAAAAATCCTCGGATCATAATTTACACAACATTCAATTAGTTTTTTTTTTTTTTTAAAAAAAAAAAAAAAAAAAAAAAAACTAATTAAATAAGTGTCATATCGAGCGAAATTACGCCGAGATCTCATACTTGGGTACTAAACCCAAAACTTTGGCTTGAATTAAATCACATGTAGCTGATACAATATCTCTGTGAGAGCTACAATACTAATAAAACACATTATTATTTCCGTTCATACCATATAAAATAAACTGTTACAAAAAGGACTAATTGCGAAAGAATGTGCCTGACATTCCCTTTGCACCTGAGATGCAAGTTCGCCCACTAGAGCAAAGAGAACCAAGAGAAAGATGGCTAGGCAACGAGCATCCTAACAGTAACCTCTCACCAAACATAAGACGAAAAATCACAACTAAAAAATAGATGCTCATGAGTCTCTATAGTAAACCTGCACAAAAGGCAAACAAAAGATGCAATGATAACGTGAGAGCCAAGATGATTCATGGTGCATGAAAATAAATAATTTAATTGATGGAAAATCACAATTAAATTATCATTAAGAAATGGTGGCAGGTTACGGAATAATAAATAAATAACAAATATGTAAGGTGAACTACACCCATCTCAGAACCTTATTGACTTGGTGTTAGGTAACCTTCCATTAATTTTCCTAGTAAAATTCACGTATTGTCTTTGTTAATTAATCTTTGAGTCTTTGTTGTCTAAAAATTAGCGATCAGCGGATAGTCTAATTCCAAACTCATGCTTTTTCAAAGAAGCTTATAGCTTTCACATGAGAAAATGGAAAATAGGGATTAAACTAATTTATTTATGTTTTATTATGTTATTTGGTTTGCAATTCTTAGAATTTGTAACCAAAAGTGGGACGAATCTTTGGAAAATTTTGAGCACGGACAAAGAATCAAAGATTAACAAGAATTGCTCAAACTATATATATATATATATAATTGAATAGAAGAATAAAATTGAGTGAGAAATTAGTGGAATTTTAACAAGAAGTTTTGACGACAAGCTCGTTTTATTCTAATGAATCACTATATTTAAGTTAAATTATTTGGTTAAAACATGAACCCAGTACAAATGGCAATTATTAAAGTCTTGCTTCCTTAATTAGCTTGGTCTCTAATTTTGCCTTTAATAATATTGAAAAGTGAATAGCATGAAAAATCAGGAAGTAAGAAAGGGATGCAGCAAGCCAGCAAGTCACTAATTAAAAAAAATGAACTCTGAAAAGGCAAGTTCAATGTGCAAGTCAAAAGTCACGCACAGCACAGAGCACTTAATATATCATCCAACTCTAGCTTCAACAAACAACATTGGCTTTTGCCTTTTATTTATTAGAGTAAATGAAATGTTCCTACCCAAGGTTTTGCAAATCTATAAGTTTCCATCTCTGGTTTCATAAATTCCAGATCCTAACCCTATTTATGTCTTCTTGTCCAAAAAAATAGTAAACCTTATTCTCTTTCACTCCCCCAAATTAGTAAAATTTCAAAATTTCCTCCACATCTCAAATTTTCTCACAACCCAACCCTTCCTCTCTGCCTCCAACTCCTCCACCACCACCACCACCACCAACACCAACACCACTGGCAAACGAAACGCAACACTAGGTTGAGCAAATGACTACACTAATGGGCACCAATCTGTTGACCAGGCGGGAGTGGATAGATTATGTGTTGATCAAGGACCAAGGAAATGCGACGGAGGTGGGTGAGTAGCAGGGTGTTGGTGTTGGGTTGGCTAGTTGCCGGTTGGGGCAATAGGTCAAGCAATTTGTGGGCAGGGAATTTGGGCGTCGTCAGTAGGGAAAGTGGTCGGACAAATCTGCAAACAACCAACAAATACACAAACACTCCAAAAAACCCATCTCTTGAAAGATTACATGCTTATTAGGGGTAAAATGGTGTAACATGAATTAATGATGATATGACATGAAATTAAAACAAATAGGGTGGAATTTGTACCTTTAAAGCTTTGCAACCCTTTGTAGCTTTGACTGGAGATTAAAGATCTTCAAAATTGATGAAGAACCCTCAAAGTGTATCCACCACAAGATGAAAAGAGAGAGCCAAACAAAATTGGGTTTTTTTTTGTGAGATATTTCTTCTAAAAAAATTAGGTTAAAATGAGATTATAAACATATTTATATACTTGGATCATTTTGCAATTTTGAAATTGTTATTAACTTCTTAATAAAATTTCATTATTCTTGTTTGTCCTTGAAAATCAACCCATTATTGAATCCAATCCATTAAATATATATATTGACCTATTATTGAATCTAATCCAATAAATATATATTAGCCCATTATAGAATCTAATTCAATAATGACCAAATGACCATATTACCCTTGATAAGTGCTAGCTTTCCATGAGGAATCATTTCTCACCAATACATTAATTTGGACGTAGACGTTTACATCCAAACATCGTTAACCTTTAACGATAAATATTACTTTCTCTTCTCATATTTGTTTTAAGTGTGATCACTTA